GTTCTTAGTTTCTTTGCATTTGGTTAGAACATGTTCTTTAAGTTCACAGAAGTTTCTTACTACCCACCTTCTGAAGTCTGATTCTGTCATTTCATCACACTCGTTCTCCATCCAACCTTGTTCCCTTGCTGGTGAAGAGTTGTGATCCGTTTTAGGAGGAGAGGTGTTCTGGCTTCGGGTGTTTTCATCCTTTTTGCACTGGTTTCTTCCCATCTTTAAGGATTTATCCACCTGTCGACTTTGTAGTTGCTGGCTTTCAGATTGGGTCTCAAATCTTTCAGATTGACGTTCTGTTTGTTGATGATCAGGTTATTTCTGTTTCTTGGTTTCCTTCTGATAGTCTGGCCCCTCTGCTGTAGGTCTGCTGAGGTTCACTCCAGGCCCTGCTTGTCTGGGGTTCAGCTGCAGCAGCTGGTGAACAGCAAGGGTTGTTACCAGTTTTCTTCTTCTGCTATCTTTGTCCCAGAAGGATACCCGCCTCGTGTCAATCTGATCTCTCCTTTATGAGGTGTCTCTTTGAATATATAGGGGTCAGGGAGCTGCTTGAGGAGACGGTCTCTTCTTTATAGGAGTTCAAATGGTGAGCTGTGAGCTCTGTTGTTGTTCATTCAGAGCTGCTGGGCAGGTAAGTTTAGGTCTGCTGCAGCAGAACTCATAAACTGCTTTTTGTTCCCAGGTGCTCTGTCCCAGGGATTTAGGGCTTTATTTATGAGTTTCCATTATGCTGCTGCCTTCTTTTTTTTTTTTTTTTTTCCTTCAGACCTGCCCAGCCCAGCAAGGAGTCAGCCTAGTCACTGTCGCCCTGTAGAGGCTTTGCTGGGCTGCTGTGGGCTCCGCCCCACTGCCAAGTGAACTTCCCTGCAGTCCTGTTTATTTATATGGGTGTAGTTAGAACTGCTTTGGCGATGGTGGCCCGCCTCTGTTGAGGTGGAGTCTCTTTGCTGTGGCGGGTTGCCTTGGCAACGGTGGGCTGCCTCAGCAATGGCGGACACCCCTCCCCCACAGAGCTGGACCATCGCGGGTTCAGCTGCGCTTGCTGTGAAAGTCTCAATCCAGAGTTTCTGGTTGCTGTTCTTTTGTGGGAGTGGGGCCAGCCGAGCCTGATCGCCTGGCTCCCTGCCTCAGAGCCTTTTTTAAGTTTGTGTTCCAGTCGCCTGTTGAAGAGGCGCCGGGGTCTGTTTGTTTTCCCCTGCGGCCACTCACTGCGCTGGCTTAAACAGCGGCACTGAGGTTTGTGGCGCCTTTTTTTTTTTTTTTTGCCCTGGAATCTACTGTCCTGGTTCTCTGCTCAGTCCCCTTTTTGAACCGGCGTATGGGCGACTTCCCGTGGCTCCAATCGCCAACCAAAAGGGCCCCTGGACCAGTGTATTTTGTATGGAGAACCGCGGTTCCGGGGCGCCGACAAAGCAGCCACGTGGGGCAAAGCAGCGGCGCTGGCCGGCACGGCCGCGCTGGCCGAAACAGCTGCGCTGGCGACCGTGGAGCACCTCCGCCCGGGAATTTCCTAGTCTGTGGGCAATAAAAACGCGGCGTCCACTCACCCTCTGCGCTTTCACTGGGAGCTGCAATCCTGAGCTGTTCCTAAATGGCCATCTTGGATCGTCCTCCAATCACAAATAGTCAGAAGAAATGTGTTTCTAACTCGCTGAATCTAAACATGGATGCAACTTCCCAAACTAGGGATGGGTCTCAGGCCGAAGACTGTTCTCTACCATCCTTCACGGTGAGGGAGGAGCACAGCCTGAGGAGCTGTGGGTGGTCTCAGAAGGACAGAATCAAAAGAAACTTTCTTAGGATGTGGACTGTGATTGGGTGATCTGGTCGAGTGCCAAAAGATGCTATGTTTTTCTAAAAGGCTTCTCAGTGCCTGGAGATAGAGGGGAAAGTGGAGATTGGAGGATATATGTATCTGCCAACATGTATTTTGAAGAAAAACTTTGCAAAAGTGATCCCAATGAGTTCCACCTATCCCATTGATAACAGTGCTCTACTAACTTTTGATGAATATTTTTCAAAATCTTTTCTTGAAGCCAATTTGCCCTATTAATTTGCTCAATAAACCTCTATTTCACCAATAGTGAATACACCAAATGATCATTTCTCAAATTTGCTGATGGCAAATTAAAACTTACTTTACTTTTGAAAGTAGACTTCTAAAAATTAGAATAATGAGAAAAAAGCACGAAATTTGTTTAAGCAAGATTAATCTTCAAAGCTACGTTTGAATTGTATGCTAATACATCAATATATTTTGAATTCAAAAGCAGCCAGGGACTCTAGCAATGTAAATTGTTTGTTTGTTTGTTTTTGTGCTCAAAGATTTAAGAGACAGCCAGGTGCACTGGCTCACACCTGTAATCACAAAACTTGCAGAGGCGGAGGCGGGCAGATCACCTGAGGTTAAGAGTTCGAGACCAGCCTAACATAAAAAAACCCCATCTCTACTAAAAAAAAAATACAAAATCAGCTGGGCATGGTGGTGCATGCCTGTAATCTTAGCTGCTTGGGAGGCTGAGGCAGAAGAATTGCTTGAACCCGAATGGCGGAGGTTCTGGTGAGCCAAGATGGCGCCATTCCACTCCAGTCTCGGCAACAGGACATCAAGAGCGAAACTCGGTCTCAAAAAAAAAAAAAAAGGGGAAAAGATTGAAGAGACTTGGTTGACTACAGACATTTAGTGATTACTCAATATGTCCTGAAGCTCAGCACCTGAGAGAGAGTTTGATTCCAGTTTTTGCTGAAACATAATTTCATCTCAACTATTATTATAAGGGAGGGAGAAAAGTGACATTATAATGAGTGTAAACTTACCATTTTTAATTAAATTAAAAGTTACTGATAATTGAATTAGTTAAAAAGGCTAGGGCATTCAAAACAAAATTGTTTATAAGCTATCGAGTTATGTTTCTAGAATGAATAGTAAAATTAAACATAAAGACATTAATATTCTAAATCAGCACTTTCCAAACTGTGCTCTAAAAATCAACACTCATAACCCAAGGAGATGATAATAATGTACACTGGACAGCCCCTACGGTAGTGTTGGTGGCTGTTCCTTTTAAAATAAGCTTCATCTCAGGGCGCTCTCAAAGTGCATTTTTGTGGCCCATGCGGTGCTCATGCACAATGGGAGAAATTCAAATGCAGATACACTGTGGTCCTAGAGGAGAAAAAGCTGTTCCTTCTTCTAAGACTGATATCCAAAGTGGTACACATTGACTTAGGCCTGCAACACACTGAAAAATTCATTTCTCACAAAAAACATTCAACACAGGGAACCTATCCTTCTCGCTGCATTCAACATTGTCTTAAGCAAAACAGCATCAAATAAATGGCTACACTTTTTCTAAAATTGCTTATTTGCTAACAGATTTTTCCTTCCATTATGACGTATAAGATGAAAAGAGAAATTGATACTTAATATTTAGAATCTGGTATCAATATATAGTTGACTCCAATTTCTTAAACCGATTGAAGAGGACAACCAAATGGCTGATGTAATTTTAGTCTGTCCCTTAGCAGTATAGTTGTACTCACGATTTTAGTGTCATTGTAAAATGAGGGCAGCTGGCTGTGCTGTTATCAAGGAATATAGTGGAGCAAGAACTGTATTTTTGAGTAAAATGCTCAGTAAATACCTAAAGAGGAAGGGAAGGATAGGTAAAATTATCAAAGTGTATTTTTATTCCATGGTTAAAATGTCAAATGACAAAGCACTAAAGTATTTTTTACACTCCATGAACTGCCTAAGTGTGGTGTCATGTGCACTCTATAGAAAAACCACTGGAGGCTCTTAACTTCCAGAGATGATATTGAGATATGGATTATAAAATGCTGCTCTTAATATGGTACCTGTCATCAAACCTAACAAGGATTTTATGAATTCCCTTTATAAATAATGAGAAAAGTTTAAAATAAAATTTCATTGTTTTTGTTTCTACCATGCTATAAAGCAATTGAGAACTTCTGTTATTTACTACGATAAATGTTATGTATTAAATAATACCAGTACAAGAGAAGTTCATTGCAATGAATACAAGACTAATGTATTTACTAAGTTACTAATCCTAAATGTATTATTTCAGGCGAAATTGTGACAAAACAGGGGTTTCAGATTCAGAAGTTCTGTGTGCCAGTGTTGCTAGGCCACCAAGTGAGGAAGCCATAGGTTTCTCTAGTCCTGTTTCCTTATGTGGAGGATAAAAGGATTATCACTTAAATATTCTCTCACAACCTGAAAACAGAGGACAACTTAAAAAATGTAACTTCCACTTCATGTTTAAACAAGACTGCCATGACATGACTCAAATGAAACTCTCAGAGAATACTTGCCATTCATTTCAAAGTTGATTAGTTTCATTCTTTAAATCATCTGACCTGTACCTAGGCATTTTCCTACTATAGCCCTGCTCTCTGTCTAGAATACTGCTTTTCTCTCTCCTTGTTTGAGCAAGCTTGACTCCATCTACCCTCTTGAATCTCTCTGCCAGCAGCCACACCACAACATGTTTTTTTGTACACTAATGAGTCAAATTCACCATTGGTTGCAAGATACTAATTCTTGCAGAGTATTCCCCTCATGAGGAAGTATGCCTCTCCACAAGAGTAAGAGAGGGCCCTAACTGTTCCTACATCTGGCTGCTGAGCATAGAATTATGTTCATAAAGAAACAAAAACTTCAACAAGTGTTTAATAAATTAATTCAGTTATAATTTGGAAAATAAGTGTTACCACAATTACACCAAAAACACTACTAGCAGTTTACGGTTTATAGATATTATTTAAGGTAGTCACAAAATAGAAACAAATCATCTAATTTCAGTCAGCATAAATCAAGAGTATGAAATTTTACCATCTTTAACAAGAAATGGAAGGGGTTACATAGCAGTTTAATAATAAAAACTAGAAAATAATTATACCTAGTAATTTAGTAAGTCAAAACCAAAGACTTACCATCAAAGGTCCAGTACCCATTGGATGCTGCTGCCCACCCACTGACTTCTTCCAGTGTACCTGCTGCCTTTCATTTAAATCCATTAAAAATACTAAAGTTGTTTTCATTGTAGAGGTTTTTCACCTCCTTGGTTAGGTCTATTCCTAAGTATATTATTTTATTTTTGCAACTATTATAAAAGGGGCTGAGTTCTTGGTTTGATTCTCAGTGTGGTCATTGTTAGGGTATAACAGAGTTACTGATTTGTGTACACTAAGTTTGTCTCTTAAAACTTTGCTAAATTCACATATCAGTTTCTAGGAGCTTTTTGGTGCAGTCTTTGGGGTTTTCTAAGTATACGATCATAACATCAGGAAACTAACAGTTTGACTTCCTGTTAACTGATCTGGATGCCATTTCTTTCTTTCTCTTGTGTGATTGCTCTGGCTAGGTCTTCCAGTACTATACTGAATAGAGGTGGTGAGACTGGGGCATCCTTGTGTTGTTCCAGTTCTCAAGGGGAATGCTTTCAACTTTTCCCTGTTCAGTATTATGTTGGCTGTGGGTTTGTCATAGACAGCTTTCATTACACTGAGGTATGACCCTTGTATGCCAATTTTACTGAGGGTTTTAACCATAAAAGGATGCTGGATTTTGTCAAATGCTTTTTCTGTGTCTATTGAAATGATTATGTGATTTTTGTTTTGAATTCTGTTTATGTGGTGTATCACATTTATTGACCTGTGTATGTTAAACCATTCCTGGATCACTGGTATGAAAACCATTTCATCATTGTGGATTATCTTTTTGATATGCTGCTGGGAATGACAAAACATTGATGAATGAAATGATGGACACAAAGGAATGGAAGACATCTCCTGCTCATAAACAGGTAGATGAATATTGTAAAAATGACCATATTGCCAAAAGCAATCCACAAATTCAATAAAATTCCCATCAAAATACCATCATCCTTCTTCACAGAACCAAAAAAATAACAAATAAAAAAAAAATCCTAAAACTCATATGGGACCAAACAAGACTGCACATAGCCAGAACAAAATTAAGCAAAACAACAAACCTGGAGGCATCAATCACGCTCCCTAATTTCACACTATACTATAAAGCTATAGTCACCAAAACAGCATGGAACTGGTATAAAAACAGGCACATAGACCGATGGAACAGAACAAAGAACCCAGAAATAAACCCAAGTATCTATAGCCAAATGATCTTCAACAAAGCCAACTAACACATAAAGTAAAGAAAGTAAACCCTATTCAACAAATGATGCTGGGATAATTGGCAAGCTACATGCAGGAGAATGAAACTGGATCCTCAACTATCACCTTACACAAAAATCAACTCCAGGTGGATCAAGCACATAAATCTATGCCTGGAACCATAAAAATTCTAGAAGACAACATTGGAAAAACCCTTCTAGACACAGGCTTAGGGAAAGACTTCATGATCAAGAACCCAAAAGGAAATGCAACAAAAACAAATAGGTAAGACTTAAATTGAAGAGTTTCTGTACAGAAAAAGAAACAATCAGCACAGTAAACAGACAACCCACAGAGTGGGAGAAAGTTTACACACTTCATATTATCTGACAAAGAGCTATTATCCAGAATCTACAAGGAACTCAAACAAATTACAATTACAAAAATACGGAACCAGCCCAAATGCCCATCAGTCAACGAGTGGATAAAAAAACTGATATACGTGTGTGTGTGTGTGCACGTGCGTGTGTGTATATAATGGAATACCACTCAGCTATAATAAGGAGTAAATTAATGACATTCCGAGCAACCTGGATGGACTTGGAGACTATTATCCTAAGTGAAGTAACTTAGGCATGGAAAACTAAACATTGTATGTTCCCATTCATATGAGGGAGCTAAGCTATTAGAATGCAAAGGCATAAGAATGATTAATGGGGACTCAGGAGAAAGTCTGAAAACAGGGTGAGGGATAAAAGACTATAAATCAGGTTTAGTGGATACTGCTAAGGTGATGGCGCACCAAAATCTCATAAATTATCACTAAAGAATTTACTCATGTAACCAAATACCACCTGTACCCCCCAAAACCTATGGAAATAAAAACTAAATAAACTACAGCATTCTTCTCAGCAAACATAAATAAAATAAAAACAAGTTTACATTTTCTCTCTCCTTTTTGGCGGGACAAATTTTAGGTACACTTTTAAATAACAACTTTTCTCTGTTTTCTGAGAAAAGGGTCTCAGTTGGTTGCCCAGGCTGGAGGGCAGTGGTGCAATTATGGTTAACTGCAGCCTCAAACTCCTGAGCTCAAGCAATCCTCTATCTCAGCCGCCTGAGTAGGTAAACTAAAGGCATATGCCATTATGCCTGGCTAATTTGTTATTTCATCTTTTTGTAGAGATGAGGTCTTGCTATGTTGACCAGGCTAGAAATAAATCTTAATTAACTTAAGTATTTCTAACACTGTAATCATTCATGAAAACACCTCCATCTATGTTGTGATGGAATGGGATAATATGGCAGTGTATAAAGTTTGAATGAAAATATGCTTATTATAGATACATCACTAAAAAATTGTCTGGGTTAATATCATTGATATTGAAATTAAACTTTGATTTACACTTAAATATAGGTCCTAAATTTGGATTAAATATAATAGATTGATCACAAATTTATTTCCTCTCCCTCTGGACATCTCCTTAGTCACAAAATAAAGGTTACACACAGGACCAGGAGAGAAGGTTGACAGAGATAATTTTTAATAAATGCTGAGACATAAAAAGTAGATAAAGGAGTCATAAATAACATAGAAGCACAACTCTGGTGCCTACAGAAAGTAACTGGAGACAGGACAAGGTGGCTGACACCTATAATCCCACCACTTTGGGAGACTGAGGCAGGTGGTTCACAAGGTCAGGAATTCAAGACCAGCCTGGCCAAGATGGTGAAACACTATCTCTACTAAAAATACAAAAATCAGCCGGGTGTGGTGGCAGGTACCTATAATCCCAGCTATTCAGGATGCTGAGGCAGAGAACTGCTTGAACCTGGGAGGCAGAGGTTGCAGTGCGCTGAGAGCTCACCACCACACTCTAGCCCAGGTGACAAACCAAGACTCTGTCTCAAAATAAAAAAGAAAAGAAAAGAAAAAAGAAAAAGAAAGTGACTGGAACAGAAACGAGCAGTTCGTTTTGCAGAACTAAAGGCAGGCTGTGAACTTAGAGGCAAATAGCACTTTGAAAAGTAGTGCAAAATGGAAAATAAAATCCAGCAAGCTCAGCTGAAAATCTGCAGTTAGAGACCCAAGTCCACCTGTCCTCCCATCTGATAAGAAACTTAGATGTGTGTTCCCTGGATATACCAAACCTGAGAATTTCTGGCTCACAGCTACTGTGGCTTAAACCTGAGATAAAAAGAAAACTGTATACCAAAAATGGAACTCCAGCTTTCTTCCCTAACTCTGCTTTTGGAAAGCAAGTAGCCAGGCAGAAACTTGGGACATCCTTCTCAAGAAACTGAACTGTCTCGAATGAAAAGCTAGTTTGGCTTCCAAAACCTCACACTGAGTGCCATCAGTTAACAGAAGTCCTGCTTCCCAATAAAGCAAGCAAGCCAGGGACCACCACACATTGGCAAAAGGCCTCCAACAAGAGAGATCAAAACAACACAAAAAAGGGAATTCAGGGGACCAGTCAAAATCAGGAGTGAAACTTTAAAAAAAAATTTTAAGACACTCTAAAAAAATATATAAAATTCAATAGATATAGTAGAGGATAAACTCACAGAATATCCCAAAAGCAGGATAAAGACAAACTGAAAAAAATAGAAGGGGAAAAACTGGAAACCAATGCAGGTCTACTGGTCTAAGCAGTCTAGCATCTGAGTAACAGGACTATCAGAAAAAAGTAACAGGGAAAATAAAAAAAAAAATTCTCAAAAAGAGTCTGCAGACTTAGTAGCCTCAGTAAAATGAAAAGATCCCCACCAAGCTCTTATGTTGAAATTTCAAAACCTCAGAGAGAGAAAAGCTCCTAAAAAGCTTCCAGAGATACATAAAACCCAGTTATAAACAACATGTCATGCAAGGGCAATAGATTCAAAAACAACACTGTGATGAGAGCACAGTTGCAGAATATCTTCAGAACCTTACAATTTAGATTCAACCTAGAATTTTACTCTCTATCAAGGAGGAATTATTTTAAGACTGGTCAGATCTAAACATCTCCACCCAGGAAAATATGCTTGAGAACAACTAGAGAGGATAACAGGACAGAAGAAAACACAAAATCTAGGACTCAGGGGATCCCACACAAGGCAGCAGTTATGTGAGATCCCAAAAGACTATAAAGAGATAGCACAGAAAAGCAAACATCCAGCATATTTAGCGAAAGCCACTCTATAATGAACTAGTATGAAAAAAGGCCAAAGAAAGTTGCCCACCCATTGCCAAAAAATAAAAGATAAAATAAAAGAGGAACAGGTATGTTTTAGAACATGGAAAATATCTTTGAAAGGCATGTGATAAATGCTACAACACTGGGCAGGGAGGAGGAGGGAGAACAGCTGTTAGAAAATAGGCAAATTAATATAATCAGAAAATTAGCTTCATGCTAAAAAATAATGGATGTGAAATGTAAATTATATGTGCAATATAATTTAACAATAATTATTAAAATTATTTTTCAATAAAGTGACAGACCATCCAGAAGCTACTTACTGCATTTGGCTGGATAAACCAGCATAGGGTAGGAAAAAAGAGATCATTCAGAAGAAGTGCAGAAGTGCTCAGATTTCAGAACTGTCTCAGAGAAAGAATGAAGGAATACGTAATGCAGAGACACAGTGAAAACACCAAATGGCTTAGCAGTGCATAATATTTGGATAGTCATAATCATGTCATTATTACTGATTTAATTAAAAAGTGTGCTATAATTGAAAGAAACAGAGGGAGAAAAATAAGGTCACGGTGTAGCGAGAAAGGCATGCTTTCACCTGCTGTGACAGAAAGTCAACAGACCATGCTGACAATTAACTTAGCTCTTCTATTTTTGTTATTTCATTAAAAATAAGATTAAATACTGAAAGCAAATCTTTATGCCACAACCAGACTACTGAAATTTAACTTAAATGTCAGCAATCCTTAACAGGTGGGCACACTGAGCTGAAGACTTTTCTGGATAAATTTAATAGAAAAGTAGAAGAGATTCAGAAAATCCACAAAACAAGGTCCATGCTATCACCACAGGGTCCCGATTATAATTTAAAAGAATCAAGAGAGGCATACTTTTACAGCAAACTATCAATTTCTCAACTTTTTGACTGTTTATTTACATGGTTTGCACGGTCAATTTCTCTTATTTCTTGTACTAAGAATGAAAGAAAAAAAATGGTCACTTCTGACACAAATAATATAAAAAGTAGTTGTTAACATCTTACTGACTACTCCTATATACAATGAGAAAAAATTCCATGTAAAAAAATTAATTTCAATAATTTATAATTTAAACTATCTGGTATAATAAATCTCATAAAGTAAAATCTGAAAACTTAGTTTACTTTTTGACCTAGTTTACTTTTAGTTTTTTTTACATACGAAGGAAATAATACTCATGTACAAAAGAAAAGGGCAAAAAAATTAGGCCAGATGAAAAATTTAGCTAATAAAAAAGTTTAACTGTTGCATATATGAGCCATGATCTGTTAGTATTCTCCTACTCTGCATTTACACATTGCTTAATTACCAGAATCTAAGAGCTAACAGCTCTAAGAACTACTTCCTGACCAGGCACCTATCTCTAGATGCACCAGAATCCCTGTAAGCATCTCCAACCACACTTAGTGGTCATGTACTACTATGTTGCTACAAACAAAACAAAAACAGGTCGTTACACAACTGAAAAGTAACTTATCTTAAATTTAATCTTTTGTTTATTGTGTTTGTTTTGAGAAGGAGTCTCGTTCTGTCACCCAGGCTGGAGTGCAATGGTGTGACCTCGGCTCACTGCAACCTCTGCCTCCAGGGTTCAAATCATTCTCCTGCCTCAGACTCCTGAGTAGCTGGGATTACAGGTGCACCCCACCATGCCTGGCTAGTTTTTGTATTTTTAGTAGAGACAGGGTTTCACCATGTTGGTCAGGCTGGTCTCAAACTCCTGACCTCATGATCCACCCACCTCCGCCTCCGCCTCCCAAAGTGCTGGAATTACAGGTGTGAGCCACTGTGCCCGGCCAAATTTCAATCTTAAAATAAGTAACAAACCTAATTGGACATGGTGTCTGCAGCAAAAAAAAAAAAAAGGCCAGAATAATAAAAGCTCCAAGAGGGACTTGGGCCATGCTTTGTTTCCTATGTGGCCACTGCCTTTAATGCTGGAAGGGCATTGCAGGCAAACACTCCTATCACTGAAGAGTGAGGGACATGGAATAGCTTTTCTTTTTTCTGCTTCCATGCTCTCTAGGTGTCAGAAGCCCATGGCTCTGGAAGGAACTGGGAAACACAACTCTGAAATAGTTTGCATATGTCTCCCTCTCCAAATCTCATGTTAAAATGGGACCCTTAACGTTGGAGACAGGGCCTAGTGGGAGGTGTTTAGGTAATGGCAGTAGATTCCTTATGAATGGCTTGGTACCATCCCCTTGGTAATAAGCAAATTTTCATTCTGGTATTAAGCCAATATGAGTTTTTTTCTTTTTTTGTTTGCAGAAAAATGATTTATTTATTTAGAGAGAGAGAGAGAGAGAGACAGCAGTAGAGAGAAAGCTTCCACGAGAGAGTGGGTGGAAATGGGACCCCAAAGGGGAAATCCAGGAGGGGAAAGAGAGCTCCCACTATGTGGACCAATATGAGTTTTTCTAAATACTTTCTATAATACATCTAATCAAACAAGAGTTTTCACTCTTTTTCTTGGCAGAAAAACAATGTTGACTCACTGTCTGATTGCGATGTCTTTGCTTCTGGATGGTCAGAAGGGTTTGACTCCAAAGCCATAACTATACAGAGAGAAAAGAAAAAAGATGTGATCACTTATGACAATTTATCAGCTCATTTATTCAGCAAGGAGGCCATTTCACTACCTCTTTTATTCTTGTCCATTGGGAAAAGGGACAAAGAATTATACATAAAGATAAATCTAAGACTCCTCCATCACATGACAAATTGTATTAATAAAAAGATAGCAAAATGTATAAACAAAAAGTTAACATGTTTTCACTAATATGATAACAACTAAAGGAAAGTATATTATGTTAAAATAACACAAGTGAATATGTGAAAATTTAGAACATTTAAATCAATATGAGTTTTTCTAAATACTTTCTATAATACATCAATTCAAACAAGAGTTTTCACTCTTTTTCTTGGCGGAAAAAACGATGTTGGCTCACCATCTGTTTGAGATTTCTTTGCTTCTGGATGGTCAGAAGGGTTGGACTCCAAAGACGTATCAATACTGTCTGTTTGAGATTTCTTTGCTTCCAGATGGTCAGGAGGGTTGGACTCCAAATCTATACAGAGAGAAAAGAAAAAATATGTGATCACTTATAAAAATTTATCAACTCATTTATTTGAAGAGGAAGCCATTTCACTACCCCTACTTTTACCTTTATCTATTGAAATGAATGTATAGACATAAGATGGTGCCAGGCAAGGTGGCGCATGCCTGTAGTCCCAGCTACTCAGGAGGCTGATGGGAAAATTCCTCAAACCGAAGTCAGGAATTTGAGGCCAGCATGAGTAACATAGTGAGACCCTCCTTTATTAAAAAATAAAATAAAAAATAAATAAATCAAGATGGCAATACATTTTAAAACACAGGCCTATTTCATAGGCAAAATATAAAACATATTCCAGAGTTTGAAAAATTTAAAAAGAAGTGAATTCAGCATATTCGTCACTTCCATGTCATTCTGAAGACACAGAAACTTAGTTCTGTTGATGGCTGTCTTCCAATAGTCACGTGAGATTTCTGTCTTCATTGCCTCACTAGCAACACATACGGAGAACATGCACAAACCTTCTTTGTATTGGAAGGAGCCAAATGAGACATATATAAACTGTGTTGTAATCCTAAAGAATGACAATAAAGAGCCTTTTTTGGGCTCTCATCCAACAGTATCCATCTATGAACTGGTGTGTAAAATCACTCACAGGCTTTCCTTACACCAGCAACTAGAGTATACGTTTACACAAGTACTTACACATTTAGTGTATAACGGTATAATCAATTCACATATTTATTCTAAACTCTTAAACACCTTGAAAAGTGAGTACAATACTCCCAAGTTACAAAGTCACACTCATCATGAATCTTCGTTATTCTACCTCTGCAAAAAACGAAGAGCTCAACCAAATTTTTTTTTTTTTAAGTTCTGAGAAACATGTGCAGAACATGCAGGTTTATTACATACGTATACATGTGCCATGGTGGTTTACTGTACCTATAAACGTATCATCGAGGTTTCAAACCCCACATACATCAGGTATTTGTCCTAATGTTCTCCGTCCCCTTACCCCCACCCCACAACGGGCACTAGTGTGTGATGTTTCCCTCCCTGCGTCCACGGGTTCTCATTGTTCAACTCCCACTTATGAGTGAGAACATGCGGTGTGTGCTTTTTGTTCCTATGTTAGTTTGCTGAGAATTATGGCTTCTAGCTTCTTACGCTTTACTTTCTTATCTTCGAACAAGATGCTATTGTCAGGTGGGGGAAGAACAAAGGGGCACCAATGGCAACAAACACCCTTACACAGGCAAGGTCTGGAATTTTAACATGCAATCTTTATATTACACGTTAAAAGTCTACATTGACACTTCATGTCTTTTCAAAGTTTTGACCATGAACCATCCCTACCTTTCTTTTAGAACAAGGAAGTAAATAAAGTCTGGAAGTCACCAGAATAAATCTAGAGACATGTTTTGTGTTAAAGTAAGAATTTTAAAGTAATCAGAGCCTCATGGGTAAACTCCTTTGGGGGAAAAAAACAATGGATTTGTCTGCAGCCCTGGCCATGACATTTCATACCTTTCAGAATTATTTTAAGCACCCTCCATTTTCTTTCCTTTTGTGTTCAAATTACAGTTAGAAGGAAATAAGCACCTATCAAGGTGACTTAAAGCAACCCATTAAGAATACCCTATCATCTCTCCCATGGCAACCTTCATTCTGATTTCAAAGTAGAAATCCCCAAATAGTTCAGTATGAATTGTCCTGAGATTTAGCTACTTTAACAAAGGACTATTAGGCACTTACCTGGTTCCTTCACCTAGATACCATCTGGATAGGTACACAAAAAGAATGGGATGGGTAGTGGAAAGTTGGGATATTCGAGTTTTTATTGAAAAAAGGAAGAGAATATTCCAAAGAAGCTTCAACAAAGTCCCACAGAATAATAAACAGAGCTACAGACAAGAAGAGCCATAAATAAATGGTCCGAGGCCAGCCTGAGAGAATGAGATGAGGGAGCAAGAACTGGGCAATTGGGAGGGGAGGAGAAAAGAAACTGCCTGGACTCTGTGGAGAAAGACTAAGAGGTGGGAATGGGAAGTCAGGGCAGAGCCAGCCTTTGTTTCTGACCAGGCCTGGAAAAGCTGACTACAGGCAAAAAGGAGCCTGAGGTGGGTGATACCCCCTAGGGGACCTTGGGGACAGCAGCAGCAAGAGGCGTGGCCAGGGCAGATGCCACTGTCACCTCCTTACCTTCAGGCATCTCCTGGTCACAGATCTGGTGCACATGAAGGGCATCACCAGCTTCAAAAGTCAGTTTGGCAGGCTCTGCAGCAGCTGCCATGGGCGCTGCTGCTACTATGTCCTCAGCTGCGGCCTCACAGATTTCTGACTCAGCAGGACATCCTGACCCCTGCTGTTGGTCCAACTCGGGGCTGACCCTGGGGCGCACACAACAGAACAGAATGTTCCCCATGGGGCACCTCTACTCCTGTCTGCTGCCACCTGTGCCTCTGCTCACAGCGTTGGCCACGCACTCGCGCTGCCCTAGGCGAGGCTATGCTGCACTTGCAGAGATGGTCTTGCCGCTGCTCGCCTGCCCACCCCACAGCCCAGCCCCGGCCGGGGCTCGGGCCAAGGACCACACCCTGCCGCCTCGCCTGAGTTAACTTGTCTGGGAGGGTGAAGAATAGCAGGCTAATTTAATAGGTTGTGAATCCAACAAGCGCTGAGAGACACAACAACTGCCTATAGAGAGAGTACAGAATGAGCTTCTCCTCCTCCTGTAGTAACCTACAGACTGAAGCCCAAAGGCCCAGGTGGAAGCCCAGGTATGTGACTCACAATGCCCTGCCCCACACCTCACAATGCCCCACCCTGGCTGCCCACCCCTCCCTCGCTGCCTGGGTGCCCCACCCTGTGGCTTATGATGCGGCTGCTCTCCTGGCCCCTCCTGCAGTGCCAGTTGAACTAAGGTTCTCATTCATCACCATCTTCCTGAGCTTTTTAGTTCTAAGAAAAGCACAGGGTGGTCTGTTACTGGAAGCCATCTTCCACTATGACTTCTGTACATAGTCTCAGTAAGCAGAGTGGGTCCCATTAGCAATAAGTTGAACTTTTATTTGCTGACTGAATGTAGATACACCTGAACTGTTCACTGCTTTTGGAGCAAAATACTCCTCTCCTATCTTCCAATGAGTGGTAGTTTTTGTCTGCAACTTGACCACAGCAATCCCTGGGGCCCTAGCTCTTCTCACTAAAGAGTTATGGCTGTGTGTCTTGAATGACACCTTGGGACCTATCCTGCCTCCACCTCCTTCTCCATAAATAGAAACATAATTTGTCCCTCCAAGCTCTGAAATGCTGAAACTTACCAGCTGCCTATTCTCCCCTCTGTTTCTTCCTTCCGTGGCAGCAACTTTCAGATTTTCTCTCTTTTACTAACAAAGTACTAAGCATAATTTTGTTATACAAAATCAGGAGCTGTAAAGTAGGTTACTACAGTCCTAACTCAATAAAAATAAATACTCAACATCTGGCAAGCAGTTTGTGCCTGACACTGTTCCAAGTGGGCTATGCTCACTTAACCCTCAGAAACAATCTCACAGGTTTCAGAGAAGATATTGAGATGGAGAAGGTAAGTTATCTCCCCAATGGCCACATGACTGCTCAGGCTGTTCCATTTTCACACTGCTATAAAGTAATACCTGAGGTTGGGTAGTTTAGAAAGGAAAGAAGTTTAATTGACTCACATTCCACATCACTGTGGAGGCCAAAGGGAAACTGACATAGCAGAAGGGGAAGCAGTTACTTCTTACATGGCGGCAGACCACAGAGTGTGAGCATGTGAAGGAGCAACTGTCAAACGTGTAAAACCATCAGATCTCATGAGAACTCACTCGCTATCACAAGAACAGCATGGGGGAAACTGCCCCCATGATCCAATTACCTCCCACTGAGTCCCTCCCTCACCACACAGGGATTATGGGGATTACAATTCAAGATGAGATTTGGGTGGGGACATGGCCAAACCATATCAGAAAGTACAGGTAGAAGTCAAGCTTGGAAGGGAAGTGACACTATAGATCAGTATATTTTTTTAAAAAACAACTTTTTTTTAAATGTGGATTTTAAAATGCCTCCTCTTCATTCAACACTGATGAAGTCCCTTCTACATGTGAGACACTGTATGTGTGAAACAGTCCCAAATCTCAATGAGTGTAGGCAGATACACAAACAAAGGCTTAAGAAGTTCAGTTTTCTGAGATCACATTACTGGACACTGTATGAACCTGAGACACAAACCCACCTCTATTTGACCCAAATTTGATGCTGGGGTGGTTTTAATTTTATTCTGAAAATTTGAGTCATTGAACCATACAAAGGTGAGGATGGTCTGTCAGATGTGTGTGCAGTGGTCTGTCTAAGAAGGAAGGACTGAAGGAAACAACAAGGCCAATCAAGAGACTACCTAAAGGAAGAGTAATGCTAAAGGCAGTGGCAGTGACAAAAGAGGAGGAAAAAACTTTGTGATTATTTGGGAGACAGAATGGGAAGTGCTTGGTCATGAGATGTGAAAGTGGGGAAGTGGAGGGAAAAACGGGGCCGCTCAGGCTCTGCTGGGGAAGACTGCGTATAGAGTTGTACCTTTCTCGTGGCAGAGAATGTAGGAAGAGAAACAGGTAAGGAGGAAAAGATCGTTTTTTACTCTCAGTGTCACATTAAAATAAAACTCTCTGGTCAAAGTTGAATTTAAATCTCTGTAGGCTAAGACCATTTGTGACATCCCAACACGTTTTCAAAAATAACACACGTAGTAAATCAAACCATTAAGAGTAACTGGGGAAATTTCCTAAAATTGACATGCTAAGAATATCACCATTTTTTTTTTTTTTTTTTTTTTAGAATATCACCATTTTTTAAATTACTTTCATGGAGTAACTCTGAATCTATGGTTACAGCAAATGAGGGATCTTACATAAAATAAAGCTAACATTTTAAATTTAAAATTTGACTGTCCTCAGAGAATAGAGAACGCAACTGAAGCTGTGGGTGTGGAAGTGATTGCTTTTAGAAGTTGGGTACAGTAAGGAGAGCTGGAAAGAAAGAAGATCTGGAGAACAGGGTGATTTACATGGCATTGAGTAAAGCTTCCAAAAGTGAGCACTCCGAGTCAAGATATCTGCACATGAATCAACAGCTGCTCCTGGGAGTCATTCGACATGAGATGATGTCTCATTTCATTTCTGTACCAGCAGCACCTAGCACACTGCCTGGTCAATAGGTACTCAGTAAGTATTATCCCAATGCACAGTCAAATTTTGCTAGGATGGCAGGAAATCTACAAATTGGCTATGGCAACTTAGTGATTGGACTTGCGCATGTGGGTGAGCTAGATGTCAGGCAGTGGGTAAAGTAGTGAACTGCAGGTGAGAAAACAATGACACAAACTTAGGGCTTCTCCTCCCAAGTATTCGGCTGAGAATAGAGATGTAGTAGTAGTTAAAGGGAGATACGTGGTAAAGAAAGCCTTTTATTCCAAGATTCAACAAAAGCATGAGTATTCTTCTATGTTAAAGGGGAAGAGGTAACAGAGAAAACACATTTTTGAGGTTAGAAGAGAAGGAAGAACGAATGCACAAGGGCCTCCAAAAGGCACAGATGCATGCAATCTGGATCAGGAAGAGATTAGCTTTGGCATCCTACAAAAGCAAGAAGGGAGAAAGGGCCATGTGATTCCAGAGATATTTCTGGTGGAGGAAAGGTTTAGGAACAGATCTTTTGATGACCTTTATTTTAACAGACTTTTCAAAAAAAAAAAAAAAAACTGTGTGGAAAAAGGATATTATGTATAGAAAAGTCCACACTTCTTGATACACATAACAACCAAAAGAAGCTTGATACACTAATATCTTCCCTAAAAGTAGGTAACTTGAAAAGCAATTTGAGCAAAAATCAGAGTTCAGTTATAAATAAGTACATCCAGAAAGTGAAAGATGGGCTTAATTTTTCCAGGAAAGTTAAGAGAAATAACAACAACTTCAGGGGAACAACAACAAAAAAAAAATCATTAAGAAGAAAATTATATGCAATTGTAAAATGTATGCATATTTACAAACTCTAACATAAGTAATCACAAAAAGGACCAGAAGAATCATTATCATAGGAAGCAAAGGGTCATTTCAAAAACATGGGGAGGCATGATTCCTATTTAATTTAATTCCGTAGAAAATATTTCAGTAAAGTTTCAGGACAAAAATAGATGATGTGTTGAAATGTGAGAAACCACAGTGGAAGGAAAAAGAATTCAAGAAAACTCAGTTTTAGTAAACAATATATAGTACAAAACTCAGGACCTAGTGGCTACAATCTGCATTAATAGTGTCTAAAGACCTAGAAATGTCATTAGATACCATTTTGGATGATTCCTGTAGACTTGAGATGATGTCTATTTAAAGTCACAAAACAGTTCCTGCGCTTACCAACAAACACACTCAAAAACATATATCTATGACTTTAAAAATGGAAGAATTTTGAACTTTCTAAACAGGGAAATATCGGGAAGCACTGTTATGAAAACAGATTTTAAAAAATTTTGATTGGAGGCAATATTGAAGTAAATTAGAAAAAATCCTATCCTCCCATGACACTGGAAAGTCTGAGAGAGCAAAGAGACACAAATTAGTGTCATTTGAATTAATCAGGAGTTTGATTCTGTGAAACGAGCTGAGACTTTGTTTATTTTTTACTTCAGAGTAAACTAATTAATACATCCATTCATTCAATACCCATTTAATACCTGAGCCCTTAGCAAACATGCTGCACCCTGTGTGTAAGTGCTGGGATATTGCTTGGGCCAACATAAACAAGCTTCTTAGTCTTGTGAAATTTATCTTCCAGTAAGGGAGTTAACATCTAACTCTGCAAATTCAAGGGTCCACACATGGCCAAAATCATGTCGGGGTATACAGAACCCCTCCTCTGATCTTCAGACAAATGCACCCTACCTTCTGGCCCTCTACCAGCAACTGGAGACCCTGGACGTTTCCAGACACACAACAGTGTTCTAAACCGCAGGCTGCTGCCCCATCCTATGACAGAGTAGACCTGTTCTCCACCAGACTTGGCCTGTTATCCAGTTGAATGAAATATCCTTTTAACATAGAAACAGGGTACAGAAAATAGTTTTTTTTTGGCCCTGATCCCATCACATGGTTCGTAGGTACACACCAGTACTGATCAAATACACCAGAATTGAGGCCTCAGGCCCTGGAGTGTGCACATCAGCTCTGCTTTCAGAAAACATCAAGGTACTTTTGGCAAGTCTGCAGACTTTATGCAAGAAAAAAAAAAAAAAAAAAAACAAGTGATGAAAACACACACACACCCCATAGTGACTAACAGAATCTCCCTCCAGGGCATTTGCAGAGAGGGGAGCAGAAAACATCCCAGGGGCCTTTCACAGCTAGTTCCGTGAGCCCCTTTTCAGACCATGCTCTCTAGACCTCTCTCAGCCAAAGCACCACCACCCTGATATGCAGGAGCTAGCTTCCTTACCTGAAATTC